AGACAGAGACCATTTTGGTGATGAAAATTACTACTTTGGGGAATAAGCTACCAAGGGAACGGGTGGTTTTTCTATCCCATGAGTTTTCTAATCAAGCAAGGATGCTTTCTGTAAAATGCATTTAACCAAATATAAGTTACTGAACTCATGAAATGTGTCATGAGGTAAAGTGTAATGATCTGCAATATATAAAGTTAACTAGAAAATGTTATGTTGCCATCTAGTCTTAAACTCCATGACTGGATGAAAGACTGAGCTTTGTTTCTGCAGGAAACTGAAGCAGTGGTGAGAAAAGAGGCTGAGCATTTGGAGCTAAGGACCTTAGAAACAGCAGCAGGACTGTAAGGGAGGGCAACTGAGATTGGTCAGGAAAGCATGGCTGGATGGTAAAGAGTGTATGACAGTGGTATATACAAAGTGGAGTACTACATTTTCTGTGGCTGGTTAAACCTGTGAGCATTTAACTGAATTTCAGTGTCACACCTAACAAAGTTAGACAAATCTCTTTGTTCCCACGGGCTGAGACTACACAACCTTCAGCACACAGAACACCAGCATGCTGGGCTGTTTTTCCCTCCCAGCACATGCAGAGCGTCCTGCTGCATGTCACTGTCCCCCTCCACAAGACAACTACTTCTCTCCACCATTTCCAGTTGACTTGGGATTCTTCCCCCGACTCTCCTGTACCCTCCATGAGTGCCCAGGGATGCTTTCCTGCTTCTCCCCTCCAGTTCATCAAATCCTGGCTGTCTCTGTCCCTGAGGCACCTTTCTGCAATGGAAGTTGTGGCAGTTTGTGGCAGGAGGGGAGAAAAAGTTGTTTTTTTTCCATATTCCCAGCAAAAGGCCTGTCCATGCCATGTTTAAATTAAACTGTTTCTAAAGATGAAAAGCCTCCAGGTGGTTTCTGTACTACCTAGATCTTAATTTTGCTTTTCCAACTGTAATTGCTGCCTTATTGAGGTGGGGGAGAGAGCAGAGAAAAAGCAGTCAATCCAAATTGTCTCATGAGAGAGGCAACAGAGCAGGGCTAAAGAAGCTCAGCAGTCATCTAAGTGCACAGCTTCTTGTAAAACCTTTCTGAAAAGCCTGAATGAATCCCCCAAATGAATGGCCATTTTGTCCCTTTCAGTTCTTCTTCTCTAGCATGGAACTCAGTGTGCAGCTTGTGGACAGACAGATTCCACAATAAATAGAGAGGGAGAGTAAAACTAAACCCGCTGGAGCTTGGCCAGCAGCAATGTCAAATCTCTTGACTGATTTCCCAGGGAATTCTTGCCTTAAATGTCAGGAGAACATAGCCCTGCAGCCAAACCTGGACCAGACTGATACTGGGGCATGACAAAATGAATGACCTAAGTAACAAGATTACACCGCAGGAGAATTAAAACTTCAGAAATGTGCAAAGATCACATTTCAGTAAGCGGTGTTTTATGTAAGATCCTTTTAGTAGACAAAGCTTAGCTCAAACTTATAAAACATAAATTGGGGAGGGGAGGGGGCTTTATTAGTGGCAACAGAATGAAATTTTCAATCAGTCAGAAAAGAAATTCTGAGGGTTTCTGCAAGTGTCAATGGTTTCTGAAAGGCTTAAAGCCTGCTCTCAAATGCTCCTGTCAGCAGGAGCCAAGGAAGGTCAAAGGAATTTAGTCTCCTAGGAGCCCACACCACTTTGAAAACAGCCTCTAAGTCTCTCCATCACTCAGACACTTCTGAAAATTCTCCTGGAGCCTCTCCTGCCAGCGGCAGCAAGTGTCCCTTTCACTGTGGTTACCTGCAGCCACTCACACTCATGGGCTGGCAGGAGCCTAAACAGCTTTGGGATTTCTGATCCTCCATCAGCTGTAGCTGAAACTGGCTGGTGCGTTCAAGACCTGTTGGAAAGGGCAGGAACACCCAGAGAAAGAGAGGGGAAGAGAGAAAGAGCACACGTTTTTGCCTCAGTGCTTTTAGGAACTGAAAGTGGTGCTGAGGGAGGAGGCGAATGAGCTGAGGACCTTAACAGCAATGAAACGGAGAACAGTTCAGACCCACTGCACACAAACGGAAAAGGACTCATGCACCGAGAGAAAACACACAGTGCTTCTAAATCATGTCCTGGTTTGGGATTTTGGACTTTGTTTTCTCTGCTTCAGTCTTGTTTAACAAACCCCATGGTCTGACAGAGTCGCCCAGGATGGACATCCAAGAGACTCACCACAGGAGCAAAGGGACTCTTCCCACACCGCTACTCAGTGAGGTGACAGAATCTAGCGCTGGGCGTTTTTCTGCCTCTCTCCCTCATATTGTTTTAGCTGGAATTAGCTGTGTGCACATTCCTCTCCAACTTTGGCAGCGTGCCCTCTCCTCCATAACAGAACAAACCAAAATCCCAGATCTGGCATGCTTCAACTGTCTGGGAAGTCCTTGTTCAGAACAGGGATGCATCTTACGTGTTGCAGCATCTTCTCACCATGGCTTACGTTCCTACAGAGATCTTTAATTCATGATGCCCTAAAGATCACTGTAAAAACTCAGATTTAATGTTCAGTGAAGGAGAAGCAGAGGCCAGGGAGATTCCACTGCAGATTTTCCCCTGCTCAGACATGGACTGAGCTTTAACACAATTTTTAAATTTTTCATATATATTCTTTTGTAAGTTATTTAACTGTGTTGAGCACAGCAGCAGGAGAAATATTTCATCCTTGGGCAGAAGTCCAAAATGAGTTAACCCAGTTTTATAAAGATCAAAATATATAAGAGAAAAAAAAAAAAAGCAACAACAACAACAACAAAACCCCAAACAAACAAAACACAAACACACACACAAAAAAACCCCACCAAACAAACAAAACAAAACAAAACCCAACAAAACCTCTGTCATCCCAACTCCCAACACTGACAAATTTATCCCTGGATAAACTGGCACAGCTTTCCTCTGTTTTTCAGTGCCATCTCAAGGGATGTCTTCCTTGCCTTCTGTGCTTTCAACAGAACATAGTCTGTTTGTTTGATCAGAGCTGGCACAGTGCAGTTTGCTCCAGGTTTCTGCCTGAAGCATTGCCTTTCTCTGTTTATGTGGCCACAACCTTTGTCTAATCCTCCAGAAGATCTATCGCAGTAAGAATGGTAGCAGTGACAGAAGCTATTAATGTTATTGCTTCTCCACGTGGCAGTCATCGGCTCTGCAGATCTAAAAGAGCAGATATATGCTATCTGCAAGAAAAAGAAAAGCAATTATTGGTTTTGCTATGTGAATTTTCTTTGTGAACAAACAAACGGGCTGCAGGAGCAGAATCTGCAAGGTGCCAAAGAACAAGTGTGTTGTCAGGGCAAAGTTATGAAAGCAAACTCAGCCCTGATTTGAAACTGCCAGCTCCAAATCTGGAAAGAAATTTGAGGTTTGTATGGGTGCCTTTTGTAGCTTTTGGAACAACAGAGGAAAAGATGTGTATGACAGAAGTAGCCGTGCTGTAAAAGGCTGAAATAGTTAGATAATGATTTCACCAAATGCAGGTGGGAAAAGATGGGGCACATTCAAGCTACATCAAGGGAGGCCACAGGTGTTTGAAACAGAGCGCTAAAAAGAGCTTTTTGTACAGTAATTCCTGGCAGAGGGGAAAAAGGGAATAGAGGTTAAAAAATTATCTTTGTTTAGAGGAATGTCCTAAATGAAATCCTCTCACTGTGATGAACTCTTCCTGCAGCCTTGACAGAAAAAGTTGGTCTGTGAGTATATGAAGTATATGATGGGTTTATGTGTCAATAAAACGGTGTTAGGACTTGGAAGTTTCTGGAATCACTGTAGCGGGTAGTGAAGAGCCTAGATTGAAAAAACAAATGCACCAAATGAAAGAGCAGAGCTGTGTAATGACTGCACCCCTCTTGACTAGGCTCAAGATGTAAGCAAATGAAGCGAAGCTTGAAAACAAGAAAAGCAAACATCCAGCCAGCTGTTCGTCTTTTGCCATCAAATTGTGAATGTCTCTTGGTATCCTTTATGACATGGTTTTAGGGGAAGAGCAGACAAATATTAGAGAAACACCTACATTTGTACTTCATGATCACCTGCTTTTACCATAAAATGTGATCGGTAAGTATTTAACACATGGGTAGGACTTATTTTATTGCTGTGTGTACAGATTTGTCCAGGGCATCCTGAAGTGATAGACTTACACATGAAACTTGCCTTTCCCTGGTGTAAATGATTACCTACAATGTCCTAGCAGAAACTATCCATGGTTTCCATGCCGAAGGCAGTTCTTCAGATCTTGCACTGTTTTCTAATGGTCAGAGGGATTATCTGGTACAGTGCATCCGGTACAGGCTGGCTGATCATCATGCCAAGCTGATTCTTTCTCTGTTGCTGCATGTACGGATGGCAGTAGATGTCGTTTCTCTCTGCATGCAGTTTTAAGCTCATTTAATGCTTTAACATGTCCCTTAAAATGTTTTATATATAACTTATGCACAATTTCTTTTACTGCACGCAAAGGTCTAAGCCACTGGGAAAAAAAAAAGGATTTTCTAGATACTTTGTTGCATTTTCACCCCTGTCTTCTTCAAGCCACAGTTTCTATGCATTCTCTAACAAAATAATTGTACCTGTAAACTTAGGCACCTTTCATTTTTTCTTACTACGTGAAGGGCTGGGTTTTTTTTCATTGGATTGTTTTCATGCTGTAGAGTCATTGGGTTCTTCTCAAGGTGGGGAGCATCTGAATTTCCTCAACAGCATCATGGTCTAATTTTGACAGTTCTTTTCAGTGGCCTCGGCTGGCTTTCCACACTAGGCAAAGCTTTGTTGAGTTTAACAACTTCCAACAAATAAAACCACTTTGCTCCTTTTGTAACCAGTAGAAATCTGGTAAGGTGCTAACAGGCGTTTTAGATGGATAAAGCTGCCTGGCTGCAGAGCTGCTCAGACTTCTTGTTTTGTTTTTTCTTTTCTTTTCTTCCACCCCCCTCAATACAGCGCGTGGCAGAGAAGAAACTGAGGAACCTTCCCAAGGCTGGGCAACCCCGAGCTGCAGCAGCACAGCGGGCTCGCTTCGGCCCTGGCTGCTGTTTTTTAACAGGCGGCCGCGGAGCCCCTGTGAATTAATCTGCATATTCACACGATCGCAAATGACCCGCGGCCGCTGCTCCGGCTGCAGTTGTTCCAGCACCCTCGGCCCGGGCCGGAGCAGCAGGTAGGGGAGCGGGGCCGCATGGTTGGGAGCCGCACCGCCCCCCCGCCCCGCCAAC